AAGATAATATCGATTGAACCCCATGGAACAACGAAACACGAACATACTTTATTTAAAGCAAAAAAATTCAATTATACTAGTATCATATAATCGACAAATCCTGCCTATACTAATACAAGTAGAGATTGTTTTGGCAGATCTCATGCATGTATGGTCATTATGATATTAAAGAAAGACATCAGCCATGAAATATTTGCGGAGGCGTAGTGTGCTTTGTTTGTGTTAGATCTGTGAATTGAAATATTTTAGAGTCTATAGTGGTCTGAATGTTTTTGGCACGTGTCAGATAAATTTCAGCTGATATTGTTTGGTTTTTTCCCCGTTAACTTGCGTTTCGTGCGGGTTTGAGCTTGAACTCTTGAACTGTCTGTGTGAGTGCCAATTTTGAAGAAAAAAATGCTCACATAACCATGCAGTTGTAGTTAATTAGGCTTCTTGACCGAGTAGAAGAAATCAAATTTTGGCATATTATTCAATACTATATAGCCAGGCTATAGCTGAGAAAATTTGACAAGATAAAGCAGTTGTTTGAAAAATTAATATATTTGTATTTGTAGTTTTATACTTATAAGCTGTCAAAACCAACAACACATATTTTCATGCGCATCATGATAAAATATCCTAATATTACGCGGTTACAAATTGACACAATTTTTAAATAGACTTTTGCCTTTTGAGTTTCGGGAAAAATTCGGCCTGACACAGTTCAAGGAACATTGGTATATTCGTTGAACACAGATTATAATAGATGTTTCTTTTAGAAACCGCGGCATATGGGCCATTGACGAACTTAGCAATTAAATTGTGTAAATTTGTCCTCAGCTCAAACCCGCACGAAACGCAAGTTAACGGGGGAAAAAACCAAACATGATCAGCTGAAATTTTTCTGACACGTGCCAAAAACATTCAGACCACTATATATAGACTCTAAAATATTTCAATTCACAGATCTAACACAAACAAAGCACACTACGCCTCCGCAAATATTTCATGGCTGATGTCTTTCTTTAATATCATAATGACCATACATGCATGAGATCTGCCAAAACAATCTATACTTGTATTAGTATAGGCAGGATTTGTCGATTATATGATACTAGTATAATTGCTTTAAATAAAGTATGTTTGTGTTACGTTGTTCCATGGGGTTCAATCGATATTATCTTCAATTGGATTCAGCGCATCAAGTCGCTTGACTATAACGAGCGAGAAACTGCGAGTTTGTAATGGTTCCCGATTCAAGACAGATGCTAGCAGTATATACAATGTAAGTTATATTTTGTCACTTTGCACTTTACAGTATTACGTTTTTACTCCTAATTTGATTCTCGAATCTTACTGCAATATTACAAGACAACGTCGACGAGTACTCGATATTTATATTGTTAAACAAGTCAGTGAACTCAATGCCAATTCTTACAACCGCACCATATTTGAATATATAGTCCCAAATTTAAATATGGCATTTGTTCGTCCAATCATTCGCATTTTGGTGTCATTTTTACATTTTTGATTGCGGTTTCGCTTTTAAAGCTTTGTTTTGATTGATATAGACTCAGTTATAGCTAACGCTTCTAAGACTGTCCGACCATTTACGAACTGTGTTCGAAGAAAATATTTCCCACCATGTGGCAGTCGTTTATAAACACGTTAATATCTATCATACTATGTTTCATATAACTATGGAGTTTTATTTCATTTAGCTGAATTATTTGCTTCATATTTGTACAAATTGTCTGAGCCTTTTGACTCGCAAGCACTCGCAAGTTGCGAGTGGCGAGTGCTTGCGAGTGAGATGAAATGCAAGTACTCGCGAGTAGCGAGTCAGAACGAGTACTCGCTACGCGCGAGTGGATGTACTCTTACTCGCGACAGTATATTGTGTATATTAAAGAGTTAAGTTAATTTAAGTTGATGCGAACGACAAATTCTTACTTATTCTAAAACATCTATTTAAACTGTAATAAACAAGAAGAGACCTACATATTTGCCTTTACCATTTGTTTAAACTCTTAGTTATTCCAACAACTGAAGTATTTGTCAAAAGTATAGACAATTCGCTCCCTGGCATAAAGCGACAGCCTCCCCATGCCTCAATGTTTACAAAATATGTCAATATTTATAAAGCACATACGAAATTTTTATAATGACCCCTTCGGAAATACACGAATATTTACGAATGCTATTACGAGTATATACGAAGCTTGCCGATCGGTTCGGTTGGGTTGCGGTCACCGCGGTTTAACCTCAAAATTACCGCGGTATAACCTCGGTCAAACCTTTCAATCACCGCGGTCAAACCGAGGTTCAACCGAGGTTAAACCGCGGTTTTTGTTAGGTTAATTCTGAGCGGTACTGTATAAACATTACCGTTTAGATGTTTTGGCATATTTAAAATGTGTGTACAGGCCGTCTGGCGACGCGAACTGTTCTCGTATCTTTGAATACATACAAGCAGGGAAAGGTCTTCGTTTCTTTTTCCCCCAAATCTGGAAAACCCAGCGAGAACATCGGTGGTATGCTACCAGTCGATAGAGCTTATGTATTCTTTCCAGATCCTCATCATCCAATGGCCAGTTTTCCTTGAGATAACGACAAACATCTATTTTTAGCACATTTTCTGATGGCATGTTGTCTTTAAAATCTGGGTGTGTTGTCAAGCATTTTTCTCCTTGTATTTCAGTTTGGTTGAGAAGCGCATCATATTCATCGTACTCTAATGCTTTCTCATGACAACAAAAACATTCAATTAGTTTTGGTGATAACGTGCAATGTCCACATTTACACCAGCTTAGAGTTTGGCGCGTTTGCTGATTCGAACTCATGATCGCTCTCCTCGTCAGATGATGAATCGCTCTCTTGTTCCGAATCGCTTTGATCGGTAACATTGCTTGTTTTTTCTCCTACTTCTGGTTCATATTGGTATGGTAACACTTCCCCTACTTGGTTCTTGTGAATATTTTCCATTACAATGACTCAAAAGAATTATTTTTTTTAGAAAACGTATAAAATCTAGATACACGCTATACAAAAATATATTGTTGTTTTGATTCTACCCTGCCATTTACGTCATACGGGTCATGTGACCCAAAAAGATAATTTTTTGCAAATACGAGCCAAGATGGCACCCGAAATATAAATTAACAGTGAAATAATATGCATATAACTCCTGAACAAAAATGTTTTACACGGTATTAATATCACATTCATAGTTAGGTGAAGCAGTACTTATATAAAACTGACATATATGTAAAATGTTTGCAAGTATCTGTCACATATCTGTTGCAGTACTGCAGCATAACTGCAACAAGGTCTACAATATCTGCAAACTTTCTGCATAAAAGTTGCAGATATTTGCAGATATGTCAGTTGTCTGTCAAAATATCTGCAAAATATCTGCATAAAAATTGCAGATATATATAGATATGCCAATTGTCTGTCAATATATCTGCAAACTATCTGCATAAAAGTTGCAGATATTTGCACATATGGTAATTGTCTGTCAAAATATCTGCAAACTTTCTGCATAAAAGTTGCAGATATTTGCAGATATGTCAGTTGTCTGTCAAAATATCTGCAAAATATCTGCATAAAAATTGCAGATATATATAGATATGCCAATTGTCTGTCAATATACAGTATCTCGACTACACAGCAAAAAAAAAATTCTTATTGAGAAAACAATTCTTACTTCAAGAAAATATTTGTTGAAATGAGAAACTAATTTTCTTAATTAGAAAAATGATTCTTAAAATTAGAAGTATTTGATTTGCAAGACATTTTTTGAAATAAGAAAAATTCTCTTAACATATCTTAAATTACATTTGTTTTCTTGAAATATGAATGTTTTCTTACGATTTCATCATCTTCATATCAAATCATTTTCTTAAGATAATTTTTAAAACAAGAAATCAAATTCTTAATATAAGAAATAATGGTTAATAACAAATTATTTCTTACTTAAATTTTCTCGAAGAATGAATATAAATTTGTTAAAATTTAAATATAACTTCTTTTGCAATTTTTGCATTTTTTTCCCCAAATGATATATTTTTCCTCAATATTCTTTTAACAATATGTCAAATGTCATCCTGGATTTAGATTCTATATGGGTTAGTATATTCACGTAATTAGCCTTTTCTCAGTGCATATTCTGGGGTCATTTGGAGGGACAAAATATATGGAGACAGGCATCAAATATGTGAAAGAGTAGAAGTATCTACTATAAAATATCAACTTTTTACATGACCAAAAATGAGATATCTCCCTTTTACATTAAACTTTAATTTAAATGTGTGCTGTCTTTTTTTTTGTCCCTCCAACAAGGGATTCTTGCGACTAGACCCAGGACTTTGGGAAATAGCTAATTAAATATACAAATTCTCTTCTATCATATTTATCTTTGTTAATTAATTTGTTATTAAAGTAAAATTGGGACAAAAATATTGTGTTTCATTTATATTAAAATGCTACATTTGCCCCCTTTAGGAAAGGAGACCTTGCCCCACCCCCTTTCCATCATTCCTGATACCATATAACTACATTCTAATTTAATCTCTAAAGTTGATTTCTTTCCATGTTTTATTGAATCATTGTAGAGAATTTTCATTTTCCGAGAATTTATTATCAATAAATTAATTAACAGTCAGTAACTGATTGAAAACATTTGTAAATATTCCTTATATTCGTAGAGAAACTATATTTAATCACAGTTAATATTAACTGTGATTTAATACATGACAACTGAAGCAATAGTTCGCGCATTGCCTGGAGGCCTGGTGCCTAGTTTAAGTGTCGGAGCGCAAAGTGTCATGGGATAGCGTCGTTTCGAATTTTTGTGCTAAAAATTTGAAAGGACATTTACATATCTTACATGGTGAAGAAACTTATCGAAATTTCAAACCCAAATGATGGAAAAGGCATGGAAAAGTTCGTAAAATGTTATTCAGATCTCACAGGTAAGAATAGTTATATTTTGACTTGTTATTTAAGCGCTTTAATTGCGAAAGAATGTAGTGAAAATATGATTGTTACTTGAGCCATGTGTCTGAAATTCTGTTAAATATAATTTTGAATTTGCCGCGTTCAATTTGCATAAGAAACATACGAAATGTTGGTTTCTGGCAAGGAAAGAAAGAATATAATATCAATTCGAATCTATTATAGTAAATTCTGTAGTAAATTGTGCACTAATGCACTATTAATATCAACAATTTAGCAATAATTGTTACATAATTATTTGGCACTTTTCTAGACCTTGTCAAGGGTGTATAAATTAATAATAAAACGATATAAAATAATATATTAAACATACTAGCCTGCGAACAGGCTCTCAAGCTGAATTGAGAGCCTGCATCGATGACTAATAAATTTGAATATCTGCCCCGTAACGTTCGTTTTTCCAAATATGGAATGTCTATCCTTATTTGGTGTTGTTTACAACTTTCGTGCAAACTAAATTTAGACCGTGCAAACTAAATTTAGACCGTACAGTTTATACTGTTTTTCGAAATATAAGATATTCAAGCAAAAGTTTAAATGTTTTAAATACTGTTTTCTCAAAACAGAACATTTCGTGCTTTGAGATAAGATGGCCAAGACCAATTTGATCAGTTAATGTGTTTTTTTATGCATAGTGATTCAGCAGTTGACATATATAGAGCTCAGTGGAAACATATAAATTATAGCATCTGACCAATGAGAATTTCGCGTCACGATTTGAGACGCAGATATTCAAATTCATTAGTCATCGATGCAGGCTCTCAATTCAGCTTGAGAGCCTGTTCGCAGGCTATAAACATACTTGTGCTTTTAACAATATGAAATAACATATTAAACATTTGAATGCTGTTAAAGATATGTTAGCATTTTACAGTAATACATGAATAAGGATTGTAATTACAGAAGAATTACAGCATTGAATGTGATCTATCAGTGTATTACTGTATTGATCCTTAACCCATTATGCTGCAACTATGTTGCTTAAGACAATTTTACTCATCAAAGGGAGAGTCTTGCAAGCTCTTTATTAACAAGCTTCAGTTGTATAAAATGATTTGTTTGTAAAAGCTGGAAGATGTATGAGTGCTGAGACAATGCCTCAAATGTTCTCTTTATATACTTTCAGATTAATATTGGAACTAGATTATAGCCCGGTGTGCTCCAAATATTGTTCTCAAGTCTCGACAATCAGATCTGGATTGAGTTGGCAAACTGGTGTTGTAAGGTAAGAATTAACAAGAATAAATAGTCTGCTTTTAGTGCTTTATATGAAAGAAATGACAAACTGGCCCAGCTAAGGTGGCCACCTAGGCCAGATCAGTCTCAATCTTATAAACAGCCCTACAAAAATTTAGTAACTAGTAACAACATAATTACACATGAATCCTAAGTTTACCGGCCTCCAAATGCAGCCATTTTAAGGCCTGTTAACATTGACACTGTGCTCAATTTTGGTACACGTAACATGTTTACCATGCTTGGACTACCTATTCATACTGGCTGAGCACAGATAAAGTTGGTACAGGTACCAGTTTGATCTGTGCCATACCAAAAATTGAGCATAGTGTGTAGAGCTTTTAAGTAGTTTAGTGCTTTAATAATCTAAATTATGCCAGAAGTATATTAGTATAAAGGGTCAGTGTGCAATAGCCAATTTTCTGTCATGAATGAGTCATTACAGTATGGTACATGTAGAGCTGTCCATAGGCCTGCAATAATGCAGGGGCAGGGCTGTGGCTGGACCCATTGACCTGCAATTTGTCCTAATGTGCTCTGTCTTGTTAATTTTACCTATTTTTCCATACTAAGTCCAAAAAAAGAAATGCCTGGGTTTATATTTCTCATATGCAAAAAATTTAGACAGGGTAGGTAGGGTTTTTTTCTTATTTTTTATTATAAATGTTCATGCATGAGAATGATATTCTACATCAATTACGGCAGCACAGATGACACAAACATTCATTAAATATTACATCAACTTTGATTTTGAAACAAACAGGTTATACTTTCTTTGTAGGTTTCCATGGCGATAAAACATATAATACTTTTGTTTGTGGAAACACAACTAGTACATGGTGTTTCCACAAACAAAAGTATTATATGGCTAGTACAAAACTAACGCCACAAACTGGGTATGAAAAATTGTTCCGAACTCTTTGCAAACTTTAGATAAAAAGATTAGGGTCAGTGATTTCTTTGACCTAACTCATTAGTAAGCCCTAATGTCTCCTATAATATACTTTACAAAAATAGTATTAAATCAAATGTAACCTAGTAGATGGTTAATTATAAGCCAATATATACCTTGTAACCCATTAGACATGGCTACCCTAAGGGCATCCCCTATTTGGCCTAACACTATCTAGATTATTCTTCCTGTCAATGCCAATTAAATCTAAAACATATTAAATAAATCTGATTTTATCAATTCCTATTTTTTCAGCTTTTGTTCTGGATGATACAGTCTATGGAAAGACAGCTGCTATGCAGTACACGGTACAGGACAAATGCTGTGGGGCTGGAACTAAAAGCAAACCAGCTGAGTGAGACTTGACATTAACAATTAATGACTTTTAGGTACTCATTTATTTCTGGCCATGTATATAAATATAATTATATAATATTAGGAAATTTTAAATTAGTGTAGGTTATAGCAAGTGTAATTACTCTGCCCCAGGAGCCGGTTGTTCAATGCTGGACTAGCGCTAACACTGGGTTAAAATTTAGCCTGTTTATTTCAAAACTTCAGAGAAGAAAACTCCTATTGATCCAGACAAGATCTCTGAAAAATCTTTCCAAATTTATAGACAAGCTGTCAGGAAGT